AAAAGAAAGAGATCCCCCAGCAAAGAGAGAATCCTACAAAGAAATGCAGTAATGGACAGAGAAGTGGAGCTATCCCAGATTTATACGACTACCTGAATAGTTGTATCTTCACTACAGTTCAACACCTCCAGCTGGCCAGAAACTTACTTTTTAAGGAGTAAGCTTCAGTGAGTTCATTGGTGGAAACTTCCACCATCCATTTTCTTTAGTGAACAGAACATAAACCATTAGGCCAGCAATATTTCCAGTTTCCTTCTTGAAACTAAGTGATATGGTGATTTGTTGGTTTCTTAAACAGCAAAGTGCATGCTATCTTTCTCTTTCGAATCACCTTTTCTCTGTGTGTGTTGTGCAAGTCACACTGTGATGATTACATCCAACCGTTGAGAAATAAGTCTGTAGGTGTGAGGCTGGAAAAGCACAGCAAGTTAGACAGCATCCAAGGAGCAGGTAAGTGCACGCTTCAGGCCAAAACCCTTCTTCAGCACCAGGGAGGGGAGGGGGGAGTCCAGGAATAAATGGAGGGGGGGGGGAGGGGTGGGATGTGGTTGGACTGGGGGTCAGGTAGGAGAGATGATGGTAGGTGAATGCAAGGAGGATGTTATTGTGATTGGTCCATGGGAGGAGTGGAGCGGATAGATGAGTAGGTCAGGTTTTGGTCATGTCAGGAGGGAGAGGGCTGGACATGGGATAGGGCTGGGAGTGGAGGGGTTTTGAAGCTGGTAAAGTCAACATTAAGGCCATTGGGCTGTAAGCTTCCAAGTTGTACCTTCAGTTTACGTTTGGCCTCACTCCGTCAGTGGAGGAGGCAAAGGATGGACTATTTCTGACACCTCCCTCCCCTTCCTGGACCTCTGTCTTCATCTCTTGGAAATGGACTGACCTCCGACATCCATTTCAAACCCACTGATTTCCACAACTACCTCGACTACACCTCCTCTCACCCACCCTCCTGCAAGAATGCTATCCTATGCTCCCAATTCCTCTGCCACATGTACTCCCAGGATGAGGTGTTCAACTCCAGGACATCCCAGATATTCTCCTACTTTAGGGACTGTAATTTCCCTCCTCTGTAATTAAGGATGTTCTCAACCACACCTCCTCCATGTCCCACACTTCTGCCCTCAAACCCTCCCTCCCAACAGCAATAACGATAAAGTCCCCTTAGTTCTCATGTGCCCCTCCACCAACCTTCAGATTCAAAGCATCCTCCTCCAACATTTCCACCACCAAAAAGATATTTCCTTCCCCACCTCTGTCCGCCTTCCGCATGGACCATGCATTCCATGACTTCCTTATCAGCTTTACACTCCCCACCAATTCCTCTACTATACCTGGTACCATTCCCGGCAACTACAAGAGGTGCAACACTTGTCCCTACACCTCCCCCCTCACCTCTGTCCAAGGCGCAAAACAATCCTTCCAGATCCAGCAGAGATTCACTTGCACTTATCCATTGCGTCCGTTTCTCCCGATGTGGTCTCCTCTATATCAGAATGACCAAACGCAGAATCAGGGACCGTTTGTGGAGCATCTGTGTTCTACACGCAACAACCAACCTGACCTTCTAGTTACTAGCCATTTTAAATCCCCGTCCCACTCCCCTGACCACATGCCCATCCTTGGCCTCCTCCACTGTCACAGTGAGGCCAAACATAAACTGGAGGAACAGCATCTTGGGAGTTTACATCCCAATGGCCTTGACATTGACCTCACAGGTTTCAAAAATCCCTCCGCCCCGAGCCCAATCCAATGCCCAGCCCTCCCCCTCCTGACCTGACCTAACCTGTCCATCTTCCTACTTACCCATCTGCTCCACTTTTCCCACAGACCAATCACAATAATTCCCTATCTGATCCATCTATCACCATCTCTCTTAACCTTTACCCTGCAGCCCCAACCCCTCCCTCTATTTACTTCTGGGTTCCTCTCCCCCTCCCCAGTCCCGAGAAGGATTTCGGCCAGAAATTTTGACTTTCCTGCTCTTCTGATGCTGTCTGACCTGCTGTGTTTTTTCAGCCTCACACCTATGGACTCTGGCTTTCAGCATCTGTAGTCCTTATTGTCCCTAAGTTACTGTTTAAAAATAAACTTTTATTCTGTTTTTTTGAAACCTACAGGAAGACCAGTCCTGTGTCTGTTCTTGACAGTGGTAGTGTTCAAATCGTTAAAGCATTCCTTTTCTTGAACTACAGTACTGTCGTTATTTAAAAAGTGAAACAAAAGGAGGAACCATCCTCCCATATCTCTCACTAATGGCACCAATCATTGGCCAGAATTCTGTGGTCAGCTGGGCTACAAAAGAGCTCTCAACAGTGACCTTGGAAGGAAAACTGCTCACAAAGAACTAGCAATCTCTGGGAGGGGAATTTCTCCTTTCTCCATGGCAGTTTCAATCTACTGTGAAGAGCCTTGGAATACAGCAGCAGTGATTTCAACAAGGTTACCAATCAAACCAAAATAGTCACAACAAATCAGCAAATTAAAGCACTGAAAGTCCTTCATTTCTAATTTAAACTTTTCAGAAAGCAAAGTAAACACAAGCAAAATTAAAACCAAATAGACTTTAAAAAGAAAGAAATGACTTAAATTATGCAGAATTTTCAAACACTATGAAAGTTTGCAAATATAAACATCATTTCAAGGAAAGCAAAATTGTTAAGCATGCGTTATAATATTAACATAATGTGGAAAAATCTCCTCCTTCAACAACATGCAACTTACCCCAAGGTTTTTAAGAAGATTAGAAAAAGTCTATTCCTGCTTATATAAGGCCCATCGAGCCTTCTGTACCATTCAGTATATTCATGGTTGATTTTCTGCTGTAACTTTCCCAGCAACCCCTTACGGCCCTTGATTCACTGAGAGTGAAACTACAACATTGGAGTGGAAATGCTCATTGCACAACTGCAAAGCAAGTGTCAGCCGGCCTAGCAGGAAGCCAGTGAATTAGCATTGCACGGTGGAGGAGAGCTTGACACCCAATCAGGCAAGTCAAGTGAGGTGTCTGGTGGAAGAGGGCTTAGGCCCGGATCTGGGATTTAGTCATGGACACTCATTTAAAGGAATGGCTGTCTTCAGGTCAATGGCATCTTCAGGAGAATCTATGCTTGGTGGCAGACTCATTGAAGAAAGCAGAGCACATGGCAGATACTGAAGTCATGCAAAAGCAGTAGGTCCTTCACCTGCCTGAATCACATGGTGCCCTTTTCTCTGGACAGTTGACCTCCTCTGTCTCATTTCCCCATTGCTTCCTTGAGAGTGCACAATTCCTATGGGAACAGCAATCTCTAATGTCTCTGTGAGAACGCTCACTCTCCAGAAAAGCCCTGTCTTTAGGGCCCCTTCTTTTTCAGTATTCCCTTATTTGGAATGTCAGTCTAACAATAGCGAAGCACTAAAGTCCACTGTCAGGATCAACAGCAGCTTCTACCTGCAGCCATTTCCTGCTTAGAAACCATTTTAATCCATCCTTTCCCACCTGGTGTTAATCAGTCCCAATGTTTTTCCTGTGAGACTACCAAAAGGATGAAATGGGTTTTGCAGTCAATACCTCTTTAACAAATTCTTTATTAATTGTTTTATTTCAAATTGGCAGCAGGCTCCTGATATTACCTGCTTGCTTTTCTATACTATCAGAGTCTTGTGGAATGACATTGAATTGCCATCAGGACGTCATTGACCTTTATCTTAGATAAGCATCAGGAGGTGACCTGTCCAATTCACAACCATAAAATTCAACACATTTGCACTAGCTTTGAATTTCCAGGTTGTTCAATTCATGTCCAAATTCCCAAAGTTATTGTAGGTTACAGTGAGGTAATGACAGCAAACAATGCCTAGGTCATTTATTTTGTCATCTGAAAAACTAAATTAAAAGTGAAAGACAAAATGTTTTTACTTCCTGGATTGCTAATTATGAGAATACTTCGATATGATTGGCTACTTATCTTACTTGGTGATATTATTGAACAAAAAATGAAGATCTGCAGAGGCTGGAAATCTGACTCAGAAATGGTTGGAGAAACTCAACAGGTCTGGCAGCTTCTGTGGAACGGAAAACGGAGTTAACATTTAGGGTCTAATGACCCTATTTCAGAACTGGAGCTTCTGCAGCTCCTGTGACTATTTTATCTCTACAGATACTGTCAGACTTATTGATTTATTTTTCCAGGCTTTTCTGTTTTTGTTTGATGACATTACTGCTTCTACACTCGGTGATCCACTAGACTTTGCACCATATTTAAACTGACATTGACAAAGGAAAATTGAAACTAGCGAGATTACAAGATCCTTGTGGGCAACTTTCTTTGAAGTCAATAGTCGGTGCTCTTGCTTCACTAATGATCATAAAATTCAGCTCAAGGCCTTTAAACCTAAAGAAAGTTCCAAACACTCTTGCAGTATTACAGACCCAAAGAAGAGATAAAGCCAATAAGATTATTATGAGTGGTTTTAAAGGACGAAAGGGGAGAGAGGCCTTGTCTTTGTCAATTTCATCTAAATCTTATATTCTTGTGCACTCAACACAGATCTCCACTTTATTCCAATGAAAACCGGCTCATTGTTCAATTTAACCTCGTAGCTAAATTCCCTCAAGCCCGGAATCATTCCGACAAATCTCTTCTGCATTTCCGAGGAAGGGCCACCGGACCCGAAACGTTAAATCTGATTTTTCCCCTTCGCAGATGCTGCCAGACCTGCTGAGCTTTTCCAACAACTTCTGTTTCTGTTGCCTTGGGTGTCAAATGTACAGATATATCCGCGTTTCACCAGCAGAAAGCGCGGAGGTTGGGAATTGGTGTGGAGGGGCAGGCATTAACTTTTGGTTGTAACTGATCAAATCCACTTGTTATTGGATGCCGACCGCTGTCTTGTGGAGTAGATGTGTTTTTCTTTCTGACGCCTGATTTGACCTGGGACATGAAAGCGTCTCTGCTGTAGGACTCGGTTATTTGATTTTTGTTTTATTATTTAGACGCTATCCGGGCGTGCCAGCGCTCTCGGTTCCTTTCAAAGGTTGTATGTGGTGGTGTCATTGCAGGTGACTTGGCGGCTTGCCTGGGGCGCCGAGTGCCTCACTGGGTCTGTCAGTCACTAGCTCCTGACGCGGCACTCCCATTGAAAGGCGCGGAGATTGGATGCAGCTCCTGAATTGATCTGGTCCTTCTCATTCTGTCTTGTCTCTCATTCCACCATCTGGCTCCTCTGGGGAAGACGCTCATTTCCATCGGGTTCCCCTATATATAAAAACCAAACAGCTCAGAAGCTGAGTACCAACAGCCCACACTCTCCTGCCAATTTAGCGGAGAATAGTGACTATTCGATCGTGGTGGGCAAAGGCTTCCCCAGTCCCGCGGAGTGTGTTTGCTGAGGACGGGCAGGTAGGCAGGGGCTGTTGCTGGCCTCGGGACCACCCCCCCACTCTTCTCCCTGTATGTCTAGCGGAGGGCTCCTGGAGATGAAAAGCCCCCGTGAGGAGGATTTGTTCCCGTTCGCTCGGGAGCGGCTCGGGGATGTCCCGGCTGAGCTGCTGTCCTTGCTCAGGCAGAGGGAAAAGGAAGTGCAGCTAGCGGCCGAGCTGGGCAAGGCTCTGCTCTCGGAGAACCAGGAGCTGAGAAAGGCGAACGAGCAAATCCACCGGCAGTTCAGCCAGAAACTGGAGGTGAGTGCCCCCCACCCCCCGGAGGGGGGGAAACCTCACACTCTGTATCGACCACTCTACCCAGCCTCACTGTCCCAACGGTCCCTGTAAATTCTGCGTCCAGATTATCTACCACGTCCTGGGGCAGGCGAAAGTAAATCGAAGCTTATTTTATAACTGAGTTACACCAGCCTCTGAGCGCCCCCTCTCCATTTCCAGCAATGATTATTAGAGTTTTTTTTTGTTTGGAATGATTGTGCAGTATGAGGTGGTCGTCCTGCTACTAACTTGAAGCTTTTGGGGAACTTTCATTGACCAAAAGGCGGTAGGTCTCGGAACTAACCTCCGCTGCGTTGAATGTGATTAATGTCCTCACCAAGGGGTGAAATGAGTGCAGATTCCAGTTACCGGGATGGCGGATGGAGTAGTAAAGAAGACCTAGGGCTACCAGCTTAATTGTCGAGTATCTCCCGAAAATCCACAGTGAGTCTCCCAGACCAAGTTAGTGTGGATGGAACAAAAACAGAAGTTGCTGGAAAAGCTCAGCAGGTCTGGCAGCATGAAGCAAAAAATCCCGAGTTAACGTTCCGGCTCCTGTGACCCTGCCTCAGAACTCCGAACCCGACCCGAAACGTTAACTCTGACTTTTTTTAATGTATTCTTGCTGCCAGAACTGCTGAGCTTTTCCAGCAATTTCTGTTCTTGTTCCTGATTTACAGGATCCGCAGTCCCTTTCGGATTTTATTTAGTGTGGATGGAATCTTGCTCAGAGTGTATGGATTTGGTTCAGTGCATCCGTGTCTCGCGTGATCTCCTGCTTCTGCACTTAGCTATTCCACCATTCCAAGCGTTACCGCTTCGTCTGAACTAGAATTAATTCCCAGAGGCTGGGAAAATCTGGTCTGCATCTCCAGTATTTGCCATTTAATTTAAAATTTTCAGTTTCTCTCCATCTCTGAGGCTTAAATTGGTTAGACTTGTCACAGTCTTGATGAAACTGTCTTTGGAAAATAGAGGACATGAAAACATTTATTTTCTATCCCACATACAGGCTTCGGGATTTCTAACGAGCAAACTGGGCACTGAGAGTTTTGATGTGACGAAAGGCATTAGCAAGTTATCTGCATTTTTTTTAAAAAAAATGCATTTGGAATAGTTGGCAATTCTAATCTCTAATCTCTTTTTAGTGAATTCTAAAAATTTGCTTTTTATGTAAAACGCTGGCTTAAACATTTTTTTGTGCTGACATTTTTTGTGAGCTATTTCGTGAGACGGCGGTGGTCATGCAGGTGGTTCAGAACTCCAGTTTGCTCCTTACTTGTCTTGGTTAGCCCTGTCAGCTCCATCCCTAACAAAAGTTTTTCTGTTCCATTATGTTAATGGCCAAATGTCGCTCCAGCTATCAACAAAATACCGTCAGTAATTTATTAACACAATGTGAAGATACAAACTATAATATTCGTTGTTGATCTGTGGAGGAGAAAAACGAGCAGCTGTGAATTAAATATACTGCCATCTTCCATACATTATTACAGTCGCCGTCAGTTTCCTTGTGGCTAGTTTCCGCGGGCTCTTAGAATAAATATTTGTTGAAAACTCTTTTGTTTTAAAGGCTACAATGAAAAGATACGTAACAAACTCTCCAGTCTTGGTGTAGCTAGTAAAAGAAGAAAACACCGGGACAAGAGTGATTCTGCTAATTGAGCGTATTCTGCTTGAAGTTTCTGCAATCCACCATCTACTTCGGAAATTTTAGCAGCTTCACCAACGATTTGGCTCGGTGGTTAGCACTGCTGCCTCACAGCGCCAGGTACCGGGTTTGATCCCAGCCTCGGGCGACTCTCTGTTGAGTTTGTACGTTCTCCCCGTGTCCGTGTGGGTTTCCTCCCACAGCCCAAAGACGTGGAGGTTAGGCTATATTGCCCACAGTGTCCAAGGGTGTGTAGGTTAGGTGGATTAGCCATGGTGAGGGTGGGGGGATGCTGTATGGAGGGGTGGGGGCAGACTTATTGGGCTGAATGGCCTATTTCCGCACTGTAGGGATTCGGTGATATCATAAGCGGGACACGTGATTTTCAGTGGTACTAAATTAACTGGAAATGATACCCACGGACACATCAGCACTAGAGTGCACCCTTTCATGTTCAACAACGTTGGTACAGATGTGGCTCATTTTGACTCTGTAGCTGGAGGAGGAGGTGGAGGTGGATAGATGCAATGCACGTGGTTTCAAATTCCTCACTGTTACAGAAGCTGGACTGCTTCTCTTCCTGGGATGGGGAATATCCGAGGATGGACATGTCCAGACTGTGTCACCATAAGAGTTACACAAGTCTGATGACACAGAAAGTGGCCATTCAGTCTCTTGTATTTACACTGGCTCTTCAAATGAGCGTCGTGACTAGGTGCCATTCTCCTGCTTCAGCCTCATACCCTTACATAATATATTTTATCCATTGTTTTTTGTTGCTGGGTGGCCTGAGGAATCATAATGAAGTCCAATCCAGCCTGATGGATTCTACAAGCAGCCTCAATGAAGCAAAAAAATCAAAGACAATATCAACACTAAATTTTTAAAAAACTGAAAGAATTGTGGATGCTGGAAATCTGAAACAAAAATAAATTGCTGGAAAAGCTCAGCAGGTCTGTTGGCATCTGTGGAGAGAAAGCAAAAATTAACATTTTGGGTCAGAACAAATAACCATTTATTTGCCTAATTTGCAGACGTTCAAACACAAGTGTTTTGGAGGTGGAAGGCCATAGGACCAAAAAGCCCCTTCTTTTTATATATATAAACTATTTTCCCACCTATCCTATCACCCTATTCACTTTCTACGGACCAACTATTGATTTTTAAATCAATTTGCCTCTTTGTTTTAGTATCTATTTTACAAAGGACTTGGAGCAAATTTAGTTAACTTGAAACTTTAAAGTAATTATGTTCAGACAAGATTTTATAAAATGAGACAGACACGTAGCTAATGAGCTAGCCTTTGATGTTTCCTTCCCTCTTGGGAAAAATATAATGACAATTGATAAACATATCACCCAGGTTCTTTCTGGTACTTTCCAATAGTGAAGAGAGAGAGGAAAAGGACAGCGGTGTATCAGTGAGGTCCAGCATGGGCAGTAATGTCAGTCAGCTTTTAAACAGAAAGTTATGGACAAATTTTGACCTAGTTGAGAAGGAAAATGGAGAATAGTTTAGGGTCAGTGAGGTTAGATGACGTAGTGGTACAGGGAAGGGCAGCATATATCTTCTTTGTATTATTATGCAATACAAATTGCTCTGTCTGAATGAAATGAATCTGATCATAACTGTGGTTCTGTATTTCCACTTGCTGTAAAACAACATACCTTAGCCTTTTGTATGTGACATCTTCCTAGCAAGTAGTTCTTTGGCACACCTACTAAAAGATTGGAGAGACACATCAAAAGACGTAAATATAAAATTAGTTGATACCAGCAATGTACCCTTTGATCTCACTATATTCTAGTAAGATATTGTGGAGTTTGAGTAAACTAATGAAGCTCGAGCCATGGCACGTCCTGTATCCAAAAGAATATCTAAGACAAAAGCCTTGTAACACTATTTCCTTCTAATGTCTTGCATAAATTTTACCCTTAATGTATTCAATCTTCTTATTCCTAACTTGTTCAATTCTAACTTGTGTTGCTGAGATAGGAACACTTCCTTGCTTGTCTAGATTAATTTTATTGACTCCCTTCATAACCTGGCAAATGTGAATTAGTTTACCAAAGTAATAAATGCTATTTTTCTTCTCCTTTTCCTGGAATTCCTTGATTGTAATAAATCGCCTTTTATAAAAGTTGATTTGGAAGACTACGGAGCATTACCTGATTTCCAAGAATTAGATCATGTGGAGCAAATACGTAAGAGGTTTGTATTGCCTGGATTTTGGGATGATTTGTATGTTAGGGTAGACAGAGGGAAATCTTTCCTGCTGGTGGGGTGTCTGTTTATTTTTTATGGAATCTCTACAGTGTGGAAACAGGCCATTCAGCCCAACAAGTCCACACCGTCTAGTACAAAATAACATCAAACGCAGTATCAGACTATTCAGAAGATAAGTTTTTTTGCCATAAATTATGGAAAGTATTGAATTCACTCTCGCCAAAAGTGGTAGATGCTAACTCAAAGTTTTAAAATCTGTGATTGATGTGCTCTTGGCCAACGAAAATGATAAAGCTTATGGAGCCAAGGTGGATGGATTAAATTAAGATAAAGATTGCCATGACTTCACTGAATGGTGGAAAAGACTTGAAGGTTCTTTAGCTTATTCTTGTTCCCCTGTTCCTGAGACATAGTGAGTTGCCCTTAATTCATTTCGGTTGTAGCTTCCTCATTAAGTTTTGGAGGTTTGTCACATGTAATCTTGCCACTCCAAAGCCACTGATTTATTAGTTTACAAATAATCTTCAAATTTGATCCTCATGGCTAATCCACCAATTTATCTAGAATTGAATAAGTCCAATCATAATAATCTAGTAATTATTGTTGCACTATTAACACACACCATTTTGTTTGGACTGGATGTTGGATGAATTAATGAATAAATGGTTGCTTTCACTTACAATTAAAATGCACAAATGAATAGATTAAAAAGCCAAAGAGTTTTAAAAAACAAAAACAGATTACTTCACAACAGAAGTTGTTTGTGCAGTTTGGCACTATGTGCAGTGCTCAGGGAATGTCAAATGTTTGTGTAATGATGAAAGAAGCGTCCAATTTGTTTCATTGGGTTTGGATAGAAGGCACCTTGATGGATAACCTTACCAGAACATAATACCATTAAGGAAATGGAAAAGGTAAATCTGGAATTAAAGAGTAGGACAAAGTTCATACTAACAAGAAGGCATCTTTTTAAAAAAAGTAAAGAAACTCTTCACATAAAAAGAACAATTTCCATCTAGACCAGACCTCCAGGATCAATACTGGATGTGCTCATTCTTAAATGATTAATAATGAAACAACTGGATGCTGTACTACAAGAGCAAATAGTTTTCTGGATAATGGGGTTATGATAGGCCAAATTACTTTCCTTGTCCATAATTATCTCATAATTAATAATCATTGAGAAGTTCATGTTCACAGTTTGCTCCAAGATCACACATTGTTCTGATGAAAGTAGTTTTTGGTAACAAATATGGACATGATCCATTCTTCTGTTTACCATCTCCTGCATCCAACATATAATAACAATAATACTTTAACATTGTTATTTGCTTGAGCCTCTACATTTCCAATTATTTTCCTTCAGGAACTGGAACAGGAGAAATACTCATCACATCTGAAACATGAGGGGAGGAGGAGTGAATGGGAGGCTCAAGTTGCAGAGCTGGAAATTGATCTACAACAGTTACAGCTAGAGCTCCAGAAACAGCAGCAATATCTACGTGAGGTTGAGAAGGTTAAAATAGACATGGAATGTGATCTAAGTGAACAAAACCAGAGGCTGGTGGAGCAACTAAACAAAGTAAGACTTGGATATATTAAGTATGAGTCTTGTTAACTATTGTGATTTTGACCAACAAACTTTCCAGTGAATTACATCAATTGCTGGGTTGTGCTAAATGTAGTCTCTTCAGGGATCTTTGTTACTTTTCATCTTTTTTGATTCCTCCTAAAACTACTTGGTTCCATTACTGTGGATGTTCTATACATACATGGGAAGACCCCATGCTTTCTGCTCAATCCCTGAGTAACTTACTCATAAACTTATTGTGTGTCTGTGACTTTCATCCAGCAATTATTGGTGACATGATCAGGAAAGACTGAAAAGTGCATCACAAATGGAGGACATTTATTACAATGTTAGCAAGTAGTACATAGCTACAGGGAAGTAGCTGAAGTCTATGGTCAGATTCCATGGACTAAGTCCCTGAGCTAAATAGAGAATACACAGGAGAGGATACTGAACACAGAATCAATTTTGTAATAATGAGATCTATTAGCCACTGAGCAAAAGACCCTTAATTTTGTTTCAAGGCATGCATGCATTCCTCTGTGAGCTGCATTTTCATTAAATGTTTATGTCCAAGATCTGAGTGAAACTCACTAGGTAATCCTCCCGTATCAGGAGTCAAAGCAGAAGAACTAGTTGGTAGTTAGTCTGCATGTAGATAATCAGGTTTAAATAAGTTTTGAAGAAGTATTATTTTAAAGAACAGCTCAAAGAGTAATTAAAATATATCAACATGTATAGGTTGGCCATTCAGCCTGTCAATCATATTCTGCTACTTAGGTCTGATCTGTACCTTTAAAGCACTTTAGCTTTTCTTAAAACATAACCCCTAATATTTAAATTGAAGAAAAATGTACCCATTTCATTATTGAAAATTTCAATTGAAGCAGTGGTTACAACTTTTTGTAGGAGATTTCTATTACCTTTCATTTAAAAAAAAGTATTTTCAGAAAGTGACTGCATTTAACTCTAGTAATCTAACCTGGTTGTTATATGCACAGTTGCAAATCACTTCCGTAGGAATTTTTAAATTTAGACTTTCAAGTACTTGAAATAGCTCAATTAACAACACAGCTTCCTTAACCAATATTTCAGAACTTCAATTTCCCTGTCTTCTCTCAGTTGTTTGAGCTAACTGAAATAATCAAGTGTTATTCATGTTTTTGTAACCTATGGACTCATTATCCCAAAGTTCTCCTACATGATTGCCCATCTTCATTTTCTGTACACTTCATCTATGCTAAAACTGTGCTGACTATTCATTACATTACACAAACTATTAGCCTTATCCCACATTAGGTCCTGGCCCCTAAACATTTAAATTTAAAATTCTCAGCTTTGTATTTAACTCTCTTCATATCTCCACAATGTTAATTTTCTTTGGTGCTATTAAAAATAACCAGCCAGTTCCACATGTTCTCAAATATACACAAGCTTGGAAAAAAAATCTTAATCAATATGTTTTTATCTTAACTGTGTTATAACTGCTCACAGAAAGAAGAGGAGGTGTACTTGTTCTGATGACAGACTGTACTGTGCAGGCTCCAGAAAATTCCATTTACCTGTAAAAAGACAGACAGGCTTATCTAGTAAGCTAAAGGAGAAATGTAGATTACACAAGCAGAAAAGGGTAATAGTTCCTTTTGCTTTAAAGTGCAGTTTGATCCTAAACAGTCTGAATGGGTGCAATCGTGCATGTGGAGTAAATGGAACATAAGGAAATGAGTTTTAATTAAGTGCATTCCAGTAGAGATTCCATCATTAACTCCCATTAGAGAATGGACATTTTGAAGAGAGTAATTTTGCTCTCATGCTGGCATCTTCCTGGCAGTCCTGTCTGACTAACCAGTCTCTCTCGAGTTTCTGTGTTGGCTTTAATCATGAATTTTTATTGATGTGAAGTCCACTGAGCGTGGGTTGCACAATATGTTATTGTACTGGAAAAACCTTCAGTAACGTCATTGTGTTTAATACTTTTTGGCCTTGATTAATTCTGTGAGCGTCATCTCACAAAGCTGCTAGCATTACATTCCCCCACCCAGTGGTGTAATGTAAACTTTCCTCAGGCAATTCTCTGACCTTTTTTTAACTATTATGGCAAGTTTAAAATAATGTAGGTGTGGTTCCTGGGGGAATTTTGTGTGTTCCGAGAAGTACTGTATTAGAATAGTAAAGGACAGATACTTAATGCTGGCAACAGATTGCCCAATTCACACACCAACTGCTGTATAATTGTGAGGCATTAATTTAAACTGATTTACAATTTGGAGGAAATGCACCTTTCTCCTTTATAATGTCATCAAATACTTTTCAGTTCTGCCTGAAATTAAACCGCAACAAAACTCCTGAATTGGAGTCAAAAACAAAAACAAAGTTGCTGGAAAAGCTCAGCAGGTCTGGCAACATCTGTGAAGGAAAAAACAGAGTTAATGTTTCGGGTCCGGTGACTGTTTTCTCCTTCACAGATGCTGCCAGACCTGCTGAGCTTTTTTTGTTTTTGTTCCTGACTTACAGCTTCCGCAGTTCTTTCGGTTGTTATCCTGAATTGGAGTGTATGTTATGATTTCAAGTATACTTGTACATAACACAGACATTGAATTCAAAACAGCAGAAGAAGCTACATCTGTTTTGCTGCTTACCTTGTATCCAGTGTGGTCTGTTCTCATTGTAAGTGTGAGGGCTGTATCTAGCGCACGTTATACTCAATGCCCACTATGTACACAGGCTGTGTGCTGAACCCCCATTGTGTGCTTTTTGTACTGGTACTAGTGTGGGGTGTATCTCCAGTGTGTATAGTATCTGCTGTACCCAGTATATCTTGTGCTTGCCATACTCTATGCTGTGTGTACCATATTTGCTGTACACTAATTAACGTGTGTGTTACATCTGCTATATATGGCTAATCAGCTCTTTTTTTTTTGCCATTTATCTTGGCACACCTTTAAATGCCTCTAACTGTGTCTTTGCTAACCACTGGTCTCACATCTGATGGAGTCATAGATATTTCCTGAGCTGCACACCCTTGAATGCCACAAGAGAGCGTGACCGTGATGGTAAGGGAGCATCAGCAAACTGTTACTTTATCAGGCTGTTCCCAAGTGCTTTGTGTTCCTGAGAACTGATTCTCAGTTTTCAAAGCTTTCACAGTTCAAAAACTTTTGGCCTGAGTAGTTGAATCAGATGTCAACAGTTACAAAGCAGTGAATGTCTCTAAATACCAAGTCAGTCTTTCTAATCAGTGCTTTACTGGGGATCTTATATTTTAAGAAATTTGAATCTTCTTGCAGTGAAATGGTGAAAGGTGCTTTGGTACATCTCAGAGGTACTATTTGCAATAAAATTTAGTGCAGTAACATATCCAAGCACAACACTGAATTGAGAGCACCCCACCAACCCCAACTTTCCAAATAAAAAGTAAGATTAATTCCAATTAATTTGCTATTGTAGTTATGATTGAGGATAACAAGAGAATTTGCTATTCTTTAAATATTGTATGGGACTTTTTTAAGCAAAAGAAGGTGCAATGTTTAATTCCATTAGTGCTGGAAAAAGAAAGACTTGGGGTCAAAGCTATTTGTCTTGCTCTCATCAGGACAGGTCACAAGAATGCCAAATTTCTAAGGGAGCAACAACTTATATCACATGAAAAAATGGCGATGGCTGGTTGGCATATTGACTCTGGTTAAGGTGTTGCCATGGAGAATGAACCAGGGAATAGTTATTCTCCCATGCTATTGTTTAAATCAAAATAGGTGCAATCTTGAAGACATGCAGAGGAAAAGTGCCTTTGTATGTAGCCTTGAGCAAGCATAAATGAGCCATATTACAAGGCCAACTAATAATCTTAAATTGGTTGTTAGTGTAATTCTTAACAACTCCAGTTGTTCGGTAAGCACTATTCAATCACAGAATCGCATCTGATGTTAACTATTAGGTTCTAAACTTTACAAACACCAGCTATTGAGTATTAGCAGCAATCTGCCTTACGTGAACAATCAAAGGGTCATTTTGTCATAACTGTTTGATATGATCATGTCCTGTGAGATAAGCCATGAGCAGACCATTGCTCACTGTGTATCATGTATGCTCATGAGTGACTTTCAGCTCTGAAAAGTGCCCAGTTTACTTTTGATTACCCCAGAAGAATAAGGCATCTCAATTTTGAGCAACAGGTGAAGCTAGCCGGTTCACATTATTACAGTGTAAAAGCAACATGAATGGTATCCTCCATGAACAGAATGCTGCTGCCAATTCAAAAAAATGTTCTGTCTACCACGAGTAATGTAGTTTATGAATTTCATTACTGATATGATGCTAAGTGTGTGGTTTAGATGTCCCTATGACTGGTAGATTACATGCTGTTTGATACACATTTGGGTGGTACATGGGGAGATGTGATGTAGGAATAGTTTCACATAGAGGTGTGGTGTGGGGGTAGATAGCTGCAGAGGTGTAGTTTAAGGGCAGATACCTGTAGAAGTGTGATGTAAGGGTAGGTATTTGTAAACATGGGATGCAGGGTCAGATGCCTGTAAAGGTGTGATATATAGGGGCAGAAATGCTTAGGGACTGGATCAGGTACTGATAGCGGGTGATGCAGGCGCTGCGTTTTATTTATAAGCACAGCTGATGATCCTTGCCGCAGCTATAAAAGATGGACTGAATGACAAAAATGTCATGTGTTGAAGGAAAAGTACTGATCAGAATAGACTGGAAAATAATAAAATGTTTTGATAATCACTTATTTTCTTGGTATTGATCTTGCTGGGTGTGTTTTCAGTGACACCTGCTTAGCCGGTTTTAAGCAGATACTGCGGCTGTGCCTTCAAATAAATGTTACATAGTTTTTTTTGTCTTGCTTTCCTAAAACCACTTCACTTTTGGGTCTGCTCCGTACTGTACAGAGTCCTTAAGATAACATAAGATGTTCTTGAGGTAGGATGAAGCCAGTGATGTTGGGTGCTGTTGTTTTCTGTAATGGGAGATATACGGAGTTAAAAAGAATGTAAGAACTGCAGAAACTTTTGTGGCAGGTCATGAAATGGGGGTACTGACTGGGGTGATTTTAAAAAAAAAAGTGGGGTAGGGACTTTGAGAGATGTTGTGCGAACATTACCCAGCAGCACAGGATTTGTTACATTCACAGGAACAGTGTTGTTCTCTGTTCAACCACTGTATCATGTTTTGTCTTGCAACTGCATTCATAACCTGTGTGGTCACTGTACCCATTTGTTATTTGGTTACTTTCTTTTTATTTCAATTGTCTTTTTGATCTTCTAGAATGCGCTGATTCATGCTGAGTTTTGGTTCTGCTGATGCATCTCCAGGACCTCATCCATTAAAGTTTCTTCACAGCAAGAGTCAACAGGTGGAATGCACAGTTGAAATAGACCTAGTCCATATCTGACAGAACCAAGGGCCCTATTCCCTGTAAGAACCATTGACTGGTGCTGTAGTGCAAACATGCTGGTTGAGTTTTAAGATTTCCTACCCCAGGAATACTGAGCTTAGTTGAAGCATTTCAATTACTACCCTAACTAAAATCAGTTAACCCAGTGCAGATTAGACATTGGACATGGCATCAACAATTTGCATGGCCCAGTGTTACACAAATGCTCACACATCAATATGGCATGGAAACAGATCCCTTGGTCCAACTCCCCTGCACTGACCAGATATTCTCATATCCCTCTTAAACCCTTCCTATTCATATACCCATCCAGATGCTTTTTAAATCTTATAGTTGTACCTGTTTCCACCACTTCCTCTGGCAGCTCATTCCATACACACACTACCCTCTGCATGAAAAAGTTGCCCCTCACATTCTTTTTAAATCTTTCCCCTCTCAACTTAAACCTGTGCCCTCTAATTTTGGACTCCCCCCATCCCAGGAAAAAGACCTTGGTTACTCACCCTATCCATGTCCCTCACGATTTTATAAACTTTTTAAAAGGTCAGCTTCTGATGCACCAGGGGAAAAAGCCCCAGCCTATTTAGCCTCTTCCTATAGCTCAAATCCTCCAGTCCCAGCAACGTCCTTGTAAATCTTTTCTGCATCCTCTGAAGTTTGACAACATCCTTCCTATAGCACAGCGACCAAAACTGTACACAGTATTCTAAAAGCAGCCTCACCAACGTCCTATACAGCTGCACATGATGTCCCAACTCCTACGTTCAATGTTCTGACCAATGAAGGCAAGTGTGCCAAACACCACCTTCACCACCCTGTCTAGCTATGACTCTACTTTCAAGGAACTATGAACCTGCACCCCAAGGTCTCTTTGTTCAGCAACATTCCCAGGGCCTTGCCATTAAATGTATAAGTCCTGTCCTGGTTTGCCTTTCCAAAGTACAACACCTCACATTTATCTAAATTAAACTCGATTTGCAACTCTTTAGCCCATTGGTCCATCTGATCAAGGTTCCATTGTACTCTGAGGTAACCTTCTTTGCTGTCCATTACACCACCTATTTTCGTGTTATTTGTAAACTTACTAACCATGCCTCCTATATTCAAATCATTTATATAAATGATGAAAAGCAGTGGACCCAGCACCAAACCTGTGGCACACTGCTGGTCACAGGCCTCCAGTCTGAAAAGCGACTCTTCAGCACCACCCTCTGTCTTCTACTTTCATGCCAATTTTGTATCCAACTGGCTAGGTCCCCTGAATTCCGTGTGATCTAACCTTATTAACCAGTCTACCATGCAGAACCTTGTTGACTGCTTTGCTGAAATCCATGTAGACAACATCCATTGCTCTGCCTTCATCAATATTTGTCACCTGTCCAAAAAACTCAAAGTTGGTGAGACACGATTTCCAATGCACAAAACCATTTGACTATCCCTAATCAGTCCTTGCCTTTCCAAATGCATGTAAATCCTGTTCCTCAGAAACCTCTTCAACAACTTACCCACTGCTAATGTAAGGCTCACTGGTCTATAGTTCCCTGGCTTTTCCTTGCAGCGTTCTTAAATAATGGAGCATTTGGCTATAGATGATACAAATATCTCAGCAAGAAGCCCAGCAACCATTTCCTATCTTCCCACAAATTTCTGGGAAATACCTGATCAGGTCCTGGGGATTTATCTACCTTTGTGTTTTCAGACCTCCAGCACTACCTCTTTTGTAAAATGAACTCTTTTCAAGACATCACTATTTATTTCTCAAAGTTCCCACGCTTCCATGTCCTTCTCCACAGTAAATACTGATATGAAGTATTTGTTTAGTGTCTCACCCATCTCTTGTGATTCCACACCTAGATGGACATGTTGATCTTTAAGGGGCCCTATTCTCTCCCTGGTTACTCTTTTTTTTTTGCCCAGAATGTACTTAGAGTCTCTTTTGGATTCTCCTTAACTCTATTTGCCAAAGGTATCTCGTGTTCCTTTTTTTTGGCTTCCTGATTTCCCTCTTAAGTATACGCTTACTGCCCTTATTCTCCTTGAGGATTCACTCAATCCCAGCTGTCTATAACTGACATATGCCTCATTCTTATTCTTGACCACCGCCTTAATTTCTCTAGTCATCCAGCATTCACTACATCTATCAGCTTTGTCCTTTACACTAATGGGAACATACTGTCTCTGAACTCTCTAACTCATTTTTAAAGGCCTCCCACTTCTCAACAGTCCTGTACCTAGGAATAGTCTCCCTGTATCAACTTTTGAAAGTTCCTGTCTAATACCATCAAAATTGACCTTCCTCCAATTTAGAACTTCAACTTTTTGATCAGTTCTGTCTTTTCCATAATTATTTTAAAACTAATAGAATTATGATAACTTGCCCCAAAGTGCTCCCCCACTGACACCTCAGTCACTTGCCCTGCCTTTTCTCCCAAGAGAAGGTCAAATATTGCACTTTCTCCAGTAGGTGCATCCACATATTGAATAAGAGAGTTTTCTTGTACCCACTTAGCAAATTCCTCCCCATCCAAGCCTTCAACACTGTGACAGACCCAGTCTGTATTTGAAAAATTTGAAAAAAAGCACTCCTACTCCTACTCTCTCTAGCACATGGCACTAGTAGTAGTCCAGATATTACTACTCTCAGGACCTATTTTGTAACTTCCTGCCTAGTTTCTTATATTCTCTCTGCAGAACCTTGTCCTTTTCTCTACCCATGTCATTGGCACCAACATGCACAACCTCCTCCTGCTGGTCATTCTCCCCTTTGAGAATATTCTGCACCCTCTCCGAGATGTCCTTGACCCTGGCACCAAGGAGGCAACACACCATCCTGATGTCTCATGACGGCAGCAGAAACGTCTATCTGTGCCCCAAACTGGAGAGTCCCTTATTGCAATCAATCGCTTGGAACCTGACATACCCCTCGCTACAGTACAGCCAGTCATAGTACCAGAAACCTGGCTGTGCATGCTATATTCCTCTGAGAGGCCATTCTGCCCCTACAGTAACCAAAACAGCATACTTGTTTGAGATGTGGATAGCCACAGAAGATTCCTGCACTACCTCGCTACCTCTCCTATCATTCCTAGCAGTCAATCATCTACCTGACTGTATCTGCGGTTTTTCTGCCTTCGTGAAACTGCCATCCCAACTGCCACGCTCTTGTAAACTCCTCACTGCCACTAACAGCCGCTCCAACCGATCCATGCGGTCCAATAGGATTCGCAACCAAACAGACTTCCTGCAGACGTGGTCTCCAGGACCATTCAAAACCTCTCTGATCTCCCAAATCTGACCGGAACAGCGCATAACCCTACAAAAAGCTATTTCTGCCCCTTTCATAGTCTACAGATCCAGAAATTACCTAAAAACAAACACAACACACTTTGCTAGAAACGCAGCGTTAGCACAGTCTTGCAGCTCAAAAACACTTCACTACGACAACGCCATCCTTAATATTAAAAGTCAACCGAGATGCAGATCACAGGGAAAAAAAATCCCCTCAATTTACTAGTATAGATATACAAAAAAGACATTAAGATTTAGAAGTTTTATAAGTCTTAAACATCAAACACTTTGCTGATCAGGCTCAAAAACCAAAAGTCGTCCACTTCTGCTGTAATTTCAGGCGGTATTTTGTTTAAACTCATTGGTACCTCTTGGTAGCCCTGCAACTACACGTGAAACTGGATATTAGACCTCCCGGGGCTATGAAACTGCACTCCTTGTTTGTTATTTCAGTGAAATTCGATCTTCAGAGCCCCTGTGCAATTTCTCGGTCTGACAGCTGTGAAACTACATTTGTTAACTACTTCATAAAAAGCCGATCTCCGAGCTTCATGCAATTCTTCAGTGTCCGACCTTACCACTATTCCTTTATCTTTAGTAGACTTTAATGTTATTTATTGATAAATACAGGCAACAAAGGGTGGAGAGTCAGAGCTGGGAGCATCCACCCAAGGCTAAAAATGCAATGAAAAACATTTATCATCTATTTCAATCTCTTTTCAAGAAATCATGTGTGCAAATTAAATCTTGTTGCTTTGGAAAATTAGTCAGGGAGGAAAGGATGTGATAAATGTACAAACTGCAGTATCTGATTTACATGTTTTTTTTTCCCAGGCAGCAGAAGTGGAGCAGACCCTCACCCATGAGATCAAAACATTAAGGGAGAGGTTTATGGGCAAAGAGTTTCTGGTGAATGAGAATGCAACAAGGACACAGAGCCTTCACGTTGAGGTGAGTGTGATACTTGAGCCCGAGTCTGTGCCAGGGGCTAATGCTGGGCCTATAATCTGGCTGGATAAGGTCAAAAATACAGAAAATAAAAAGATTTTCAATACTTAAGAGTAAGTACACATTACTGCCACTGAAATTTTCCGGCACACCATTTTGAGACAACTGAATAATCAGTTAGCACCTTCTAGGAACAGTTTTTTTACATCCTTGATGGGTGGTTTTATCTTGTGATGTCAGTTAACCCTTTCATGTACTAGCTTTCTTATACAACAGATATAGAGGACTGGGGCCTGGACCCCCTCTTACTGCTGGTATTGACTGAGGCCTGGACTGTCTCCTACTATGAGTATTGACTGGGGCCTTCCACATTAAAGCACTGTTTTTGGGACCTAGGGATTTGGTGCAGTTACTGCCTAAAATTTGGAGACCGAGAATAGTGCTGCCTGAGAAACTGGACTTGCATGCAGTGCTGAAAAAAATTTTTTTACAACAGATACAGATTTTGTAAATATTTGGTGTTCACCTGACTGTGAACTATAGTTCCACTGTTGGCTGCTCGGACTAGAGACAAAAACCCAGTGCGGGCAATTCCTTGGTCACTGTTTTTACTGATATTCATTTTCAGAAATGTTTGACTTTGCTGGGGGTACAGAGGAGAGGGATTTTTCATAAACATTTTAATGATCTTGCGGCACATTGGCCAGGATTTATTGAGGAGTTCCTTAAGAAGACTTTTTTTTAAGGTGGTCAAGGAGACATTTTTTAAAGTAGACACATTGGAGTGTTATTGAATTTCTCATTGTCTTTTAACAGCTAGAGCTGTTGGCTGAGCAGAAACATAATCTGGAGCAGCGAATAGTCACAATACAGAAGGAGAACTTGGCACTAAAGAGCATCATTGACTCCATGCAAGAGGAATTCTCACAGTTACAACAGAAGAACACGGAGCAGCTACTGCAGGTTAGATCCAAAGTTAGACTTCAGGGTCTAGGCCCGAAACGTCAGCCTTCCTGCTCCTGTGATGCTGCTTGGCCTGCTGTGTTCATCCAGCTCTGCACCTTGTTGTCCCTACATCAGAATGGCCTGATTAAGGGTTACTGGACTTGTAACGTTAACTCTGCTTTCTTACCACAGATGTTACCAGACCTGCTGAGTTTCAATGTAATTTCTGCTTTTGTTTCAAACTAAAGATCAGCTTAAGATAAAGGTTCCTAGTTCTATATTTACCACTTGGCTCTGATTGCAGGAAATTTTTCACACTTAGAGTGGATGATAAGATTTTATAAGGGTATAAGCGTCTGCCAGAGTTAAGAAGGAGTACATTTAGCACTGAACAATATGATGATGTCACACAGAAACAGGCAGAGGAACAGCTTTGAATCACAAAGGATCAAACATTGAGGTGTGCCTCAATGCCTATTACACCAATGGAACTTGTACCTATTTACTATCATGTAATAAATGGAGATTTTTAAAAATGAGATATCAAGAGTCCAGAGGCCAAATGTTCCTATTAGTGTGAAGGACAAGGTTGGTAGGTGTAGGAAATGCTGGATGACTAGAGAAATTGAGGCTCTGGTTGAGAAAAAGGAGGCATATTGGCAGGTATGGACAGCTGGGATTGAGTGAATCCCTTGAGGAGTATAAGGGCAGTGGGAGTATATCAAGAGGGAAATCAGGAGGGCAAAAAGGGGACATGACATGGCTTTGGCAAATAGGGTTAAGGAGAATCCAAAGAGATTGTACAAATACATTAAGGGCAAAAGACTGACTAAGGGGAGAATAGGGCCCCTTAAGGATCGACAAGGCCATCTATGCGTGGAACTGCAGGAGATGGGTGAGATACTAAATGAGTATTTCATGTCAGTATTTACTATGGAAAAGCATATGGAATCTAGAGAACTTGGGTAAATAAATAAGTGATTCCTTAAAGTATCTATATTATAGAGGAGGAGGTGCTGGATGTCTTAAGATGCATAAAGGTGGATAAATCCCTAGGACCTGATCAGGTGTATTCCAGAACTTTGTGGCAAGCTAGAGAAGCAATTGCTGGGCTCCTTGCTGAGATATTTGTATCATCGATAGCCACAGGTGAGGTGTTGGACGACAGGAGGTTGGACAGTAAGTTTGCAGGTGACACCAAAATTGGTGCAGTGTACAGCGAATGAGGTTATCTTAGTGTACAACAGGACCTCAATCAGATATGCTGATGGATGGAGGAGTGGCAGATGGAGTTTGATCTAGATAAATGTGAGGTGCTGCATTTTCGTGGGGCAAATCCAGCAGCACATGTACACTTAATGGTAGGCTCCAAACAAAGTGACCTTGGAGTGCAGGCTCATAATTCTTGGCTGAGTTGGACTGAAGAGTCTGTTTCCGTGCTGTACAACTCTATGACTCCAAACTACATTTTGTTTGAGACAAGAGCCTGTTCTCATTATTCCACCAGATGTTTTATTTTTCTTTACAACACTAGTGAAAGCAGGCCTTATGCGGAAGAGGGTGGTGCAGCATATCTCCCAGATAGATCTTACACCATGATGAGCTGTGGTGACAGTTTGTCTTACAATGCCAAAAGACAAAAAAAAAGCTAAGAAATAATTGTATGCAGTGATGGGAGACTTGTTTTCTGAAAGAGAGTGTTCAGAATGAATGAAATAATATCAACTGTGCTTATTTTACAATGTACATACAAAAGTAGCCAAGTTTACAAAAACAAGTACAAGCCTCCCACATGGAGTACCTAAGTCTCTAATTTCTGTCTCTCAGACACACATACATACACAGACACACACGCACACCTAGAGATATAGAACTTTACAAACACAAACAGGCAGCTTCCCGCTGGTGTTGAAAGTCAGTAAGATCCAGCTAATTCTCGAGGGAGGAACTGGGACTTTCAAAAGTTTCCGCTCTTGGGATGGTTGTTCGTACTGAGTGCTTTCATTCACACATTAGGCAGCTTTTCATAGTGCTTCTGTGAGCAAGAACAGTCAACCATGTAGAACTCAAAGGTGAGGCCTACAGACAGCTCAGTTATTTGTGACTATATAAAACTGCTGTTTCATTCACGTGTGAACATTTATTTACTGTTGTTTGTTTGTGTCAATTTTCCAGCCTTCATATTTTTCTGTTTCATTTATTAGTAGCCAGCAATACTGTGTGTATGTGTGTTTTTTTTCTCTGCTGATAAATGCAATCAAAACAAAAACTGGGTACATTTCTAGCAAAGGACTGGACTGGAAATTGTCAGACTAAAAAGACTGTGATGTTAAAAAGCTCAACAGATTCAGCAGTTCTTATGCTGGGAAAGGTTTGGTCACCTTTGAGGATCAGGAAATATCTGTATAGATCAGCATTATAAGGGATTAAGGACGTGGGCAGAGTCCATGATTAGATAAAGTTGTTCCTTGTAAAATTCACCACATTGTGAGACTCTGCTATAATACTAAAACCCTAGGTTTGGTATCAATCTGTACTGCCAGCTGAACATCATACTTTACTTTTGATCCCCTTGGTTTGGAAAAGAAAGTATGAATTTGGACTGATTTTAATAATTATTGAGCCTACTGGAATGTGAGTGTTGAGAAAAGGTTTGGCATTTGCATGATGCCATCTTTAGTTAAGCATGATTTGGACATGTTGAGTAAATGGGGAAATTCATGGCAGATGCAGTATAATGTGGATAAATGTGAGGTTATCCACTTTGGTAGAAAGGCACATTTTTATTATATCTGAATGGCGATAGATTGAGAACTGGGGAGGTGCAATGAAGCCCGGGTGTCCATTTACAATGATGGCTGAAAATAAGCATGTAGGTGCAGCAGATGGTATGTTGGTCTTCATTAGTGAAGTGGATTTGAGTACAGGAGAAAGGGTGGCTTATTTTAACTTTACAGGGCATTGGTAAGACCACACCTGGAGTATTGTGTACACTTTTGGCCTCCTCATCTGAGGAAGGATGCTCAGGCTATAGAGGAAGTGCCACAAAGGTTTGCCAGACTGAGTCCTGAGATGGAAGGATTGACATATAGGGAGATACTGAGTCAATTAGGACTATATTCACCAAGTTAGAAGAATGCAATTCTGACAGAATTAGACGGGGTAAATGCAGAAAGATGACCTCGAGGGACTCCCTGGTCAGAACAAGGGATCACAGTCTAAGGATAAGGAGTAGGCTTCTTAGGACCAAGATTTTGAAGAATTTATTCAGAGACTGGTGACTCTGGAATTATCGGCCACAGGAAACTGTTGAGGCCGAAACGCACGACTTTCCAAAAAGCTATAGACAAAGTTTTTAGAACTATTGGGATCAAAGGTATGGGGAGAAAGCAGGGTCAAGGTACTGAGTTGGATGATCAGTTATGATCATGTAGAATGTCAGAGCAGTCTCAAAGGGCCAAATGCCTAACTCTGCTCGTATATTATGTGTTTTTATCTTAAATAGCTGGTGACACTAGCCTTGCATATCAGGAATGACCATTTGTTCAAGATGTCATCCATAGGATATCTGCCAGAGAGAGTCAGCAACTTCAGGAAGAAGGTGATTAGGTTGGAAGAAGTTGGGGAAGATGAGAACATTTTGGTTGCTGCACAGGAGGAGTTATCTTGACCAACCAGATGACTTCATCTTGGTCCAACCTGTTTTCTCTTTCACCCTATGGAATATCTGGATACATTTACAGTATTAACATATGTTATTGAGAATGTGAGTTTTTTCTGAATGTGGCTGTTCTCTTCATCCTGTAGCTAACCCTGGCACAGGAGAATGTCAGTCAAGTCCAGGACCTGAATCGGCAGCTGCAGAACCAAGTGCAGGAGCTGAGTGAGCAGCTGATGATGCAGGAATCTGCCGATCACAATGATTCCCTTCTCTCTGAAATTGAGCACAATTTGGAGACCAAGGCTCAGACTTGGGAGGCCGAGAAAGATCAGGTATAGGCAACTAATGTTTTGGCTATTTACATTCTCAGATTGTAATATTTAAAATTTTTGTATTTTATAGGACTTTTTCTCTTAGGCGGGGATTGGTTGAACTTGCTGCTTCTAAATGAGTTATCTGGTGTACTTTTCTGTGACTTATCCTAGGTGAAGAATGACATTGTGAAAATCCATCAGCAGTTACTCACCTTGACTGGTGTGAAATGCTGTGACAGTTTGACTGGATGTCAGTTTCACTCTCTGCAAGCAGCCCTTTCACACCTGAAGGATCAGGTCCATAGCCTAATACATGGCCCAGCTGAACAGGTAAGGAGGTTCTTACAATCATTGAGCGCTCAGTTTCATTGGAGAGCTGAATGGAACAACAGGAATGTTTGACAGGCTTCACACTGAGTGAAGCACTGGAATTTCTTTTGGGATGGGACTTCAAATTGAAGCTTTGCTGAGGGAATGAAAGCCTTCTTTGCTTATCCAATGAAAGAGAATTTTCAGAAATCTTAATTTTGGAGAGGAATCTATTAAAACCATCCCTAGCAAAAACATGAGATAACAAGGTGTAGAGCTGGATGAACTCAGCAGGCCAAGCAGCATCAGAGGAGCAGGAAAGCTGACATTTCGGGCCTAGACCCTTCTTCAAAAAATTTTCTTGCTCCTCTGATGCTGCTTGGCCTGCTGTGTTCATCCAGCTCTACACCTTGTTATCTCAGATTCTCCAGGATCGGCAGTTCCTACTATCTCCTAGCAAAAACATCTTTGCTGGAGCAATTTTTAAAACCACAATGTCCCAAAGTACTTTACAGCTAATTAAGTATTTTTGAAACATAGTCACTGTTGTAATGTACGAAATGCAAGCTCCCAGCTTAACATTACATTTAAAACAACAGTCCCTTCAACAGTACTCACTCAGTACTGCACTGGGGCGTGAAAGCCCTGAGGCTTGAAACCACAAACTTCTGACTCACTATCAACTGAGTCACAGCTGACACCACAGTCACTCTTCCGCAGACTTGAGGCATATTGTTGAGAATCGGAAAAAAGGCTTTACATCCACACCTTATTGTTCCAAATGGGATCTAGGAATGCTTCGTGATGACACTGGATGCCTGCAATGGAAACTACTCCTACAAATCTCCCTGTCCTCATCTCTTCTGCAGTTGTGCCTGTGAGGGAGGCGTGTACATTTAAAAGTGGCAAGTTCTATAATCTCAGCCACAGCTCTACCAGATAGATTTGTAAGTTTCTCATTCATTTCACCATTACCCTGATCTGTCAGAAAGGGGAGTGAAATGACAACTGGCCTGTATATCAGTGTGAGAGCTAAATACTGGTTTCAGTGATGTCCTATTAGAAAAGTAGGGAATGTGCTGCATCTAGATGTAGAGTCCTCTTCATTGTCTCGTAAGTCCAGGATCCTCTGTCCCCTCTCTCTCATTACAGCTTCTTCAAGACCAGAATTATGCCTAGTTCCACCCCCACCATCCAGAGAAGTTTTTTTTTAAAAAATTGACATCCATCACCAAATCACCCATTTGACAAACTCAGTAATTAACGAATTACAACAAAACAAAAAATAGAGGAAGGGTAGGGAAAGAGGGATGAGACTAAATTAAAATAGAGTTGGAGGGGGTAATAATGCCCTCCAGACCCATGATGCTCAATTCTGTCTCAATGCCTGAAGGGTTGGGTGGACAATGCATGCTTCCTCTCTAGGGACACATGCACGCAAAAATAACAGGGACCATGCTCAACCAATACAGTTAAGCTTGCTAAAGAAGGTCAAATATCCATTAAAAATTATAGACATCCAGCAGCATCCTTGAGGTCAAGGTTAAGTGCGGGAAGAATGGCGAGTCAGAAAATAAAAAGCTGGTCATTTAGTTGAGTAGCTGAAATGAATCTAATAGGATTGGTCACTGTATGCATGGATGGCTTACCAGCCTCCACTATAGCTGGCAATCCAACAGTTTTCCTCTTGGAGATTATAGACTTAACACTTGTATAAATGTAGCCCTAGTGAATAAAATTAATGTCAAGGTACATGTCTGCTGATATTCTTAGATATCCTTGGGCTACCTCTGATAGATGTTTCTTTAACTATTTCCCATTGTTTGCATAAGGTTCTCACAGAAGGCAGTCAGAAAGAATTGGAGGAGATGCTGAGGAGGGAACAGCAGCAAAACCAGCAGGAACAGGCAATGAAAGAAGAGAAGCAGCAGATAATTGAGGAGCTTCAAAGACAGGTAATGCGTTGAGGTCACCATGCATCACAGACAGGCTCCCTGATTGTTCAATGTGTAACAGAACCAGCTCATGTGGTTTGGAGATGGGCAAAGTCCTAGGGTCAATGCCTGGACAGTGTAGATGGCAAAAGGAAGAGCAAAATCATCCAAGCTTCCTGTTCTCATTCACTGTCCTGTTGAGAAGCTGGACTCTACTGATAAGACACTACTTGGGTTGTCTCTGGCTGCTTCTGTTAAAATTGTAGCTCTGCGGTAAAAGAATGGATTTATGATTTTGCCCAGAATTCCAAACTTTTCACTAATTTACACATAGGTTAATCCTCCAATCATATTGCTCATGACTACACTTTAATATCAGACGACTATTATTGCTAGACTATTAATCCGGTAACTGAACTAATGGTCCTGGGTTCAAATCCCACCATTGTAGATGGTGGAGTTTGAATTCAGTAAAGAATTTGAAATTAAAGGTCTAATGATGACCATGAAACCATTGTCAATTGTTGGGAAAAACCTACCTGCTTCACTAATGTCCTTTAGGGAGGGAAATCTGTCACCTTTACTGGCTTGGCCTACATGTGACTCCAGACCCACATCAATGTTGTTGATTCTTAACTGCCTTCTAGGCAATTAGGGATGGGCAATAAATGCTGGCCCAGCCAGAGACCTACATCCAGTGAGTTGATTAAAAAGAAAGAACTTTTGTATCATTGTCACACGTTATCATCTCCCAGACCAAACTGATCCAAATTAGATTGCTAACTTTGTTCTTGTGTTAGTTTTGTGCTTTGGAAATGGGCTAGATTGAGAACAAGTACTTAGCTGGATGGATATAGACAAAGCCATTTCACATCGACCCCTTAAAGGCAGTATGCTATTAGCCTTAAACTGAGAAGATGAAAGGTCCTCCTCTAAAATATCCATCCAGCTAAGTACTTGTTCATTGTTGGAATTTAATAGTAATCTCCATTTCTGCTGAGCTGTGGAGGTGTGGATGTTGCATTAACTGTTTGGCACAGTGTACACTTCAGGTCATGGCTCGTTTGACTTGGTTTGGGGTGGATGTGGTGAGATAATTCTTGATGCATCGAGACTACAGGTTGTTTTCACTCAGCAATGTGTATGATTGAATCCTCTAGCTGGAGTCGCTAAGCACAGATCTGGTGAATCTCCGGAAGGAAAATGATAGTCTGCGGTGCAGCCTTGAGAATGACTCTGGTCATCGGCATTTCCTGCAGGCAATCCGTGAAAGGGACATTGCGATAACTAAGTGAGTGTTTTGATTTGCTTATCCCTGCTAGTTACAGTCTCTAGCTGTTATATGACCCTTGTTATTGCTGGTGGTGTTGCTTTTGACCATACATTTGTCACCACTAACACTTCCTATTTCCACATCCGCAACACTTCTTCTCGTCTCAGCTCATTAGTTGCTGAAAGCTTCTTCTATGCTTTTGTTACCTCTGGACTTGACTATTGCAAACACTCCTGGCTGGCCTTCCACCATCTATTAACTTGAGGTCATTCAAAACTCTACTGCATGTGTCCTACCTTGCATCAAATCCTATTCACTTGTTACTTCTCTGCTTACTGGCTGATATTCAAGCAATGCCTCAATTTTAAAAGTCTTGTTGGTTTTTATCCTTTTATCTCCTTTTCCTCCTCATTTCCGTAACATTCTCCACACCCACAGTCCCCAGATTATCTGTGCTTATTGCAAACGCCTGATTTGTTCACTTTACCATTAGCCCTCGTGCCTTCAGTTACCAAGAGGCCAAAGTTTGGAATTCCCTCCCTAAATCTCTCCACCTTGCTTCCCTTCTTTCTTCCTTTAAGATACTTCATACAACCTCTTTGTTCAAGCTTTTGATACCTGACCTCATATGGCTTGGTATCAAATTGTATTTAATAATGGCCCAGTAAAATGACTCAGGATATTTTACTACTTGAAAGGCACTATATAAACCTAAAATTTTGCTGTTGTTGACTGAGATTAACTCAGTCCTTGCCCTTCCCTGCTCTGGTGCTAACATTTTTTTGGGCTTTCCTTGTCTATTGATGCTGTTTTTAAGTCATAATGCTTATACTGACCAATGAGTTCGGGTGTGGCACCAAGTCTTTTGTGAAAAAATGGCTTGTACTCTAGTTATATAACCCTTCTCACAATCACCTGATACAATCTACCTAAATATGAAATGTATTCATTGTCCTAACATAGGAAACACAATAGATAATTTACAGACAGTAAGAACTGATAAACAGCATTGTGATAATGGTTCAATCATCTGTTTTAGTAATTTTGATGGAGCAATTAAATATTGGACAATGAAACCAGTACTAACTCCCCTGCTCCTCTCTGAAATGGTGCCATATGTTTGGAACCTTGGTTTAGCATCTCATTCTAAAAAGCAGCACTCCTCCAGTAATGCAGTCATATGTCAACCTTGTTCTAAGTGGTCAAGTCCAATGGGACTTGAATAAATAAGCCTTATTGCTCACAGTTAAGACTGTTACCAACTGAGCCACATTTGACATAGGAAGGGAAAAGAAGGAAATGCCTATTTAATGGAACATCAGAATGCATGTGAAACTTACACTTGTAACAGTTAAACTGGAAGAAGTGATAAATAATAACTAATGCTTTTACAGAAAGAATGCAGTGGAAGCAGAGCTGCTCAACTGTCAGATGGATATGAAGTCATTGAACTCCCAGCTTCTGGAGACCATTCAACAGAAAGTGGGTCTGTCACAGGAGCTAGAAGCTTGGCAGGTATGTCTGCAGCTAATAGAATGGATGACTGAATTGAAGTCTTCAAGGACATTGAAGGATTGTGACGAAGCAACTATTGATTGTTAGTTTCCATTAGTTGATGGAGTAGATTCAAGTTCAGAAAACTATAAAGGAATTCAAAGGAGAGTTTAGAAAACTTTTTTGAACACAGGATGGTCATAATGTGGAATTCTGTCACAAACATTGGTGAAGGACAGTTTATGAATACTTTTTAAAATGAATTGCTTGAAAAGGAAGAACATTAAAAGTTGTGGTAAGTGAGCAGGAGAGTGTGATTGAAGATAATGCCTCATGGAGACGTGTGCCATCTCAGACTTATAGACCAGATAGCCTGTTTCTTGCTGTAACATGTTAGTATTCTATCCCAATATGTTTTATATATCATGGGGCCATTATGTAAATCACATAGAGCAGTACATTGTGTGAATAACCACTGAGATATATTTTGGTAGCTGATGAGTTGAAGAGAAGAGTGATACCACATTTTAATGCTTTGAGTTGGAGGGGGTGAATACATTTAAGGGAGGTGGGAATGGGAATAACAAAATTTAGACAGGAATGATGTTGGGAGAGGATTGCAGGCTGGGCTATGAGGGGAATGTAAAACTGAGCAGAACAACACAGTTGCAGAAATCAAAAACAGCACTCTTTAGGACATTGAGAATGGAACAAAATGAGAAGAGAGGGAAAGTAGGTTTCAATAGTGAAAGTTCAACCAAAGACGAATCCCTGGGAAATGCCAGTAAAGTGCAGTTATCTTTATTTTCCTTTGTAACTGCACCACAACTTCACTCTCCAAGGTTTAGTCTCAAACCAACTTGAAGGAAAGAACATCACTTGACTTTGTCTGGATCAAACAGCATTAAGAACAGTAACGAAAAGAAAGTAAGACTAAATAATTAATAAACTGACCATTATCTATAATATATATTGTGTAAAAAGAGTATGCATCAAGAATCTGTGGTTTACCATTAACTAGAGTTATTCAGATCATGGAGAAACAGAAGTTAATCTGTGGTTCTAGTCATCATGTTATGTAACCAATATGACTTGTATAACAGGCACTATTTTTGATGTAGCTAAAAACATTTGTGGTACATAGCTACATAGTTATTTTCCATAAATCATCAGACTACAATATCTGCCTCAATATGCAGATATAAATCTTGTCTTCCAGAACTCACCCGAAAAAGGACAGATATTGACAGTCAGTGTAGCTCTACTAATTATTGTTAGGAAGATTTTCAGTGGTCATAAATGTATGACTGTATATATGGTATTGCTTGAATGGGGAGATGACTAAAGAGCTGAGTGGATTGATATTAAATGTATGAAAAGTGGTATGGAATGTGTAATGATAAATTGGATGGGAACTTGATGGGAAGATAGATTCATAGATTGAATAAATGATTTGGTAACTAAATGAATGAGTTGATCAAGCAACAATTGACAGGTCAACAAGTAAGTAGGTAGTTGGGGTAATTTTAAAAAATGGCTTCATGGACCTTTTGAACTGATAGATATAATTCTACGTGGTTAGATTGCTTAACCAGCAAAAAAAATTACTGTTTCCATTTTTGTTGTATTATTGAAAGGACGACATGCAATTTGTGATAAGTCAGCAACTGAAAACCCAACAGAAGACGGAACAGGCCTTGAATTCTTCCTCCCAAAATCACAGCCAGTACGGGGATTCCAAACATCGCTACTCCTTTCTCCGCAGAAGTCAGATTCCCGAAGGAAAAGGCTTCCTCTCATTATTTAAGAGGTGAGCAGTGGTTGCCTCAGACATCTTTCCTCACTACAATCTTCATCAGCCTTTTCTGACCACTTATAAACCACGTGGCTGATCTGCTGGGAAATTATTCTACAGAGTGTATCAAACCTCCAGAGAGACAGACTATCTCCAAAATTGTTATATAGAAAATGCCACCGAATTTTGGGTATTGATCAAGAAAAAGCCTCAAGCCAGGGATGTGGACTGCTGGCTGCAGAATTATTTTGACAAAAAGAAAATGAGAAAAAAATCAATTAAAATTGTAAAAAGGAAAAGGTCGAGACTTCAATGTTGCAAGATTCTGCAGACAGCATCTGCAGATGTTGCAAAACAAAAAAATAGAGGAGATGGATGGGTTGTCAAGACCTCAACAAATATAAAAGTGTTTATTTTACGCGGTGTAACATTAAATCTACCGGCTTCATGACAGGCTGCATGAAGCTCAAGGTGCTCAATACTTTTTTCCATAACTGGTGATTAATGAAGGTTTCTTTAAAAGAATAAAGAACTGGGATTTCTATTTTGTTTTGTAATAGAATACAAACTGCTGATGATGAACAGAAGTTCAATCACTTTCTGTAAAGGGAAAAGACTGGTTCAGAGTTTAGGTCTTTCTCAGAATCCCAAAAGTTATGCTGGAAGGTTCATACCCAAAAGAGTAACCTGTCTGGCTTCTTACAGGTAATGGTATTGTTATGTATTTTTAGCCTTTTCTGTATTTTTATTTCCAGTATACAAAGTTTTTTTTTTTGTTTCTTTTTATTTAAACTGTAATAATATATAAAAAATAGCTTATAGTTATTTCACAGGTTCTCCAATGGCTAGATGGTGCCATGTAAAGCTTGTTGAATAAATGTTATTTATTACTTCACAATAATATAATCGTTGAGTTCTTAAATTATGGGGAAAAAACACAAACACATTAATTGTTCATGTGTGTATATATATCCATTATCAATAATGGCTATCTGAACAATATTGTAGAGACGCACACATACATGTTTTATAATGCAAAAACAGTCAAATACACTGTAATAATTTCTGGTGTAAAACCAGACGTTTCATAATAGGGGTCTGGATCCTAACTGGGCTTGCAAGCTGAATTTTTTTTTTGGGGGGGTGGTGTTGGGGGCTAATCTCTGACCAAGTAATAACAGCTGTCTCTCCACTCTGCCAGGCCTTTCCTATCACAGCCCCCCTGCTCTGCGCTCTCAGTTCTCACAATGCACTTGCAACAATTTTCAAACCTCAACATGGATTCACAGTGGGCAAAGGTTTGGGAAGCTCTGGGAGAGGAAGAAAAAATTTTAACATTTACACGTTAAAAAGCTACCATGACAGTGTCTCTCAGTCTTATATATGGGTGTTTAATCATAGTGTATATCATATATGTACATTTATAAACTGGACATGTACACTGCCTGTATTCAAAATCTAAGACCGTAATGAGCTCGAGGAAGTAAACAAGTAAAAACTCTGGAGTGGAGCCAGGTTTCCATGACGAGATGTTGACGTATTCAGCCAGGGTGAGATTTGGCTCTGTCTGCCTGACTTTGATTAGCCATCAAGTCACAACAAACTTAAGTAACACAAAGCACTGCGAAAGCTGCAAACATTCAATCCAGATACTTGCTCAATACAGTTGTGTCAATCAATCCTTTTATTTATTCCTGGGATGTGGCATTGTTGGCAAGGTCAGCAATTATTGCCCAGTGCTAATTGTTCTGGAAAAGGTAATCATGAGTTGCCTTCTTGAACCATTGCAGATTATTTGATGTAGAAGTTAGATAAGGACTTGCAGGAATTTGATCCAGCCATGATGAGAGAACAATGGTATATTTCCAAGGCAGAATGGAGTGTGAATTTGGTGGGTACTTGTATCTAGTAGTATTCCCGTGTGCCTGCTGCCCTTGATCTTCTAAAGGTTGTACATTTGGCAGGTGTTGCTAAAATAGCCTATTACATGCTGTTGCCACTGCTCGGCAGTCAATGTTTAAAGTGGTTGATGCAATACCTATTAAATGAGCTGTTTTTGTGTTGAATGGCAATAAATGCTATGTTATTCACCCAGTCACTACTGTTTGTCCCATTTCTACCAACAACTGACTATCTGAACCTACTGCTTCAGTCTACTACAGACTATGTATCTGTCAGGCATCTGCCCCATCAATAGACTAGCTTTCCTGTTTCTTAGAGCTGTAATCTCCCCATCTGATGCACTTTGCCAAGCATTGCTGCATTGTTTGGGCAACAACAATAATTATCAGATTTATTTTTGTTTCATATGACAAATTATACAACTCTTAACTGACATAGTGTGTTTCAAATAGTGGAACCTTAAAAAGGAGAATGTACTTGGAGGAAGTGTATTAACACTGAAGGCAGATATTGTGCAAAAAACACTCCATTTATATAGTGCCTTTAATGGAAGGAACATTAAAAATGATTCAGAAATAGGCTACTGAGTCATCACAATTGCATTGTTTCACTTTCCACAGGGATTGTGGCCAATTATCATATTTCAATTGGTGAATATCAATTAACTCAACGAAGACCTTGAACCTTTGGGCCCATCTAAACTAATTTCCACTTTGCTCCTTTTATAATGTGTTCATTGTGGGTATTTGTATAAGGTAATAGTTCTGAAAAGGTTAATGGTGGAAACTACATTAAGTTCCACCCTATGTGGTGATGTCATTAGGTGGGGGAAAACAATTAATGTAGTTTGAGATCTCCATGGAGATAGATGTGTCAACAGTGTCCTGATAGTCTGTTATCTTATCTAACCAGCCAATGCAACTTGTATTACTTATTATCATGCAATAAACTACAACTCATTTGGACAAATGCCTCTTCTCAATAAGACTGACTAATGTTCACCCTTTAACACTGTTAAATAAATAGGTGCTAGACTCTGTATAGTGGCAGCACTATAATCATTAGCTGGTTGGTTCTGAACCACATACTTTAAGCATTAGATAACAAGGTATGGAGCTGGAGGAACACAGCAGGCCAGGCACCATCAGAGCAGCAGGAAAGCTGACGTTTCGGGTCTGGACCCTTCTTCAGAAAAAAAAAATACTTTAAGCATTGTTGCTTACCTACCACAGGTAACAATGCTGGAAAAAATCAATTGGATCTAGAAAAAATTTCAGGAGACAAATGAATATATTATTCTTAAGAATTTTCCAGATTTAAGAATGCTGAAGTCGTGCAAGTGACGGTATAGTGGTGAGACTCACTGGCCATCAAGGATGATGGTTAAAAACAAAAGGCTCAGTAGTGATTTTACACACAAATGTATATGGGTCATCAGCCTAGTAATCCAGAATCCTGGGCTAATGTTTTGAGGACAAGAATTTCAATCTCACCATAGCAGTTCGTTAAATTTGAGTTCAATAAAATTCTGGCATAAAAGGCCAGTCTAATGGCAACCATGTAACCCCTGTCGATTGTTGTTGTTTAAAAAAAAATCTGGGTCATCAATGGCCTTTAGGGAATAAAATTTGCAATCATTACCTGGTCTGGCCTACATATGATTCCAGACCCACAGCAAAATGCTTGACTCTTAGCTGCCCTCTGGGCAATAAATACTGGCCTAGCCAGAAAAACACAAGTCAATAAGCACCTACAAGAGCTTGAACAAACAAACAGTCAGCAGAACACATGGACGAAACAAAAAGGCAGAAACTATGTTTCAGATCCAGTAGGGTAAGAAGAGCTGGGGAAATAGTGTGGGCTGGCAAGATCTTTAAAGATCTGGTCACATTTGGCACTTACAAGTCTTTTAAAGAGGAAGGCTTTTTAGGAGCAGTAACTTGAGGTTCGATGGGAAACGACTGCTTCAGAGTAGAGTCAAAAATCCCTACTAGGCAAGATAGAAGCTAAGGAAAGACATAAGTTCATAACAAGCATTACCACCATGAGCTATGGTTATGGTAAAGGGCCCTAGTTTTAATTTATAAAGAGACCACAGAATCATGAACATCGTGAAGCAGATTTAACGAGGTAAAAATGACAGATTGAAGATAAAGAAAGCAGTGCCAAACAGAGGCAGATGGAAGATTTGTAAGACCGTTATTGAAATGGGTGATCAATAATTTTCCTCTTAAGACTGTGGTAAGAATTGGAAATCGATAACTAAAACTGCAATTTTGGCTAGAAGATTTGTTAAGGCCGCTGCCATAAAGCTTTGTTGGAGAATTTGGAAAGGGATGTGCATTGTGTTTTAAGCTATGAAAGGTAGGTTAGTGTCTGTTTTGATGATGGAAATGCAGAAAATTTCAGTTTGGCTGCGAAAGACTGAAAACCTTGATTTTACCCTCAGAAGGTGGGAAATTACAATTTTTACTGCATGCAGGTAGAACCACCTGCAAGTAGTAGAGAGTGGCAGGTGGAGTTTAATATAGATAAATGTGAGGTGCTACACTTTGCTAGGGCAAATCAGGTAGGACTTATATACTTAACGGTAGGTCCTAGAGAGTGTTGTCAAACAAGGGGACCTTGAAGTGCAGGTTCATTGTTCCTTGAAAGTGGAGTTGCAGGTAGGTGGGATAGTGAAGAAGGCGTTTGGTATGCCTGCCTTTATTGGTCAGTGCATTGACTATAGGAGTTGAGGTCATGTTGCAGCTGTACAGGACATCAGTTAGGCCACTTTAGGAATACCGTGTTCAATTCTGGTCTCCTTGCTATAGGAAGAATGTTGTGAAACTTGAAAGGGTTCAGAAAAGATTTACAAGGATGTTGCCAGGGTTGGAGGGTTTGAGCTATAGGGAGAGGCTGAATAGGTTGGGGCTATTTTCTCTGGAGTGTTAGAGGCTGAGGGGTAACTTTATAGATGTTTATAAAGTATTGATGGGCATGGATACGGTGAATAGTCAAGATTTTTTTCTCAGAATAGGGGAGTCCAAAACTAGAGAGCATAGGTTTAAGGTGAGAAGGGAAAGATTTGAAAGGGACCTAAGGGACAATTTTTTTTCACACAGAGGGTGGTGTGTGTATGGAATGAACTGCCAGAGGAAGTGGTGGAGGCTGGTCCAATTACAACATTTCAAAGGCATCTAGATGGGTATATGAATAGGAAGGGGTTAGAGGGATATGAGCCAAATGCTGGCAAATGGGACTAGATTAGTTTGAGATGCCTAATCGATGTGGACGAGTTAGACCGAAGGGTCTGTTTCCATGTTGTACAACTGTTATGACTCTATGACAAGAGTACAAGGCTTCTTGGATTTATAGCAGAACCCAAAAAGAACAGTCAACTGAGGTTAACTATGATGGCATAAAAATAATTTTTTATATGGTGGAAAAATTGATACAGCAGATTTGACTTTCATTAGATGATGAGACATGTAAGTTCAGAAGCAAATTTCAATCATTCAACTTCCAAGGAAGAGCTATCAGTACCAGTGACAGAGATAACACTAAAGCAGCAATCCTCCATCACCACAACTGAGGTTAGGATAATTTATCAGGAAGACATCCATGAGGGTCAATGAAGACGTCAGCCCATTCACCAGGCTGAAGTGAACTGTTTAGGTTCTTCAACACAGATATGTCGGAAGATTGAGAATGAAGATTTGCTGGCACAAAATGATGAAGAGCTGCAAACAACTGCATGGAAGCCAGATCAACATTCACAGATTCAGCATGCAGTTCAGAAGAAATAAACTGGCTCATATCTCCAAGATTCTGCAAAAAGAAAGTACTTGTTTTGATGGAACAGCCATTTTCCATGATACATCAGATGGAAAAACCAGTACCAAAATGGTAACACTTGGAAATCAATGTACCAGTCATACTGGTGCACTGTTCTAAAGTATACAAAACAAATCTGACCAGTATGTATTAGTTACAAAATAAAAACTGAAAGAACTG